TGAAAACTTTTCAAAGTGAAAATAAAATTCCAGTTCAAATCACCATAGTAGAGAGAATAAATGGTATTTATATAATTATTATAATTAATTTGCTTCTTTAAAGGTGAGCAGGAGTTATAGAATAATGGCACTTATTCTAATTTCTTCCTTTTAATTTTATTTTATTAAATCATCATTACTTGTAGTTTTTCACAGCTGGGTTTTAGACAAACTGTGTTGCAGCACTCATTCTGGATGGTGTCATGGTGACATGTATTTAATCTGAAACAAAACTATTGGTTCTATCATTGAAATGTAGAAGTTTATTATTTTCTGTTACTAATAATTTAGTGGGCTGGAGCAATACCACAGCAGGTAGGGCATTTGCCTTGCATGCGGCTGACCTAGGCTCAATTCCTCTGTCCCTTTCAGAAAGCCCACAAATAAACATCTTCATAGTGGAGATGTTACTGGTGCCTGCTCGAACAAATTGATGAACAATGGGAGGACAGTGCTATAGTGCTATTATAATTAAACTTTCATTAATATGCCTTAGATATTTTCAATCCTCCAGTCCTTGTATTAGTTCAGTTATTATGTCTTTCCTTAGACAACCTTCCCCCACCCCCTCCTCTTTCCACTAAATTGTACTAAACCCTACTAGTGGACCATTAGAGCCATACTCTGGATTAGAGACCCCATCAAGTTCACCATTACTAATGCACCTGTGAAGATTTCTTTTAAGAAGTATTTTGTTTTATTTATTTATTTTAGTACTTTGCTATAGACAGAAGAAATAGTAAGGAAATAACCCTTTATTCACTTGTTTACAGGTTTTTAAAGACTATTACTTTTGAAGTTATATTCTTTTCTAAAATTTAATACAAATTTCTCACTACATCAATCTTCCCATTCACACATTTTATTTATTTGTTGAAAAAATATTCTTAACAATTCCCTGTGTCCCTAACAAAAATTAGGCCCTGGGAAACCCTAGTGAACAGCACAACAGTACTTGCTTCTGCAGAGGGCTGACACTGGGTTCAGTATGCACCACAGTGTGCCCAAGTGTTATAGCAGGAGACCTTAATTCTCTCGTGACCCTAAATCTTGACCTCAATTCTCCTCAGTGGGGGTATCACTCTTCTTCACTGAGGTTGCCTGTGCCTTCCAATTTTCTGCTACTGAAAGGGCACCTCCGTCCCAGATGTGAAGTAACTAGATTCACAGTCTATCACTGCCTCACATAGCAACAATATTACTTTTCAGTTCTTTCCCACAGGGAACATGTCAAGGACCAGGACTGTCAGTCAGTATTTTAGAGCCATGGTATCCCTATGAATGTAGAGGGTATTTTTTTCAGGAAAGAGAGCCAAGGATAAAAACAAAGAATAATAATCCATATTCCCAGGACTCCAATGTTGGTGGTCTTCCATAATACCAAATAAATAAGACTCCCCTTTTCCCTGTAACATGCAGTCAGAGATTCCCCTATATTATGAGAATCAGTGACGACAATATTTGCAACAGTCATTTTGTTCTCAGGATCACCACTGGATTTTCTGAATGTGGCTACAATGGTCACAGATGGGAGGGTGGAAGTCACACCAATGTATGGAATACCATCCTCCAAGTTTATCTTGCTCCCAGGCAAAGGCTCTAAAACACCAAAAACTTGCTGAGAAGAGAATCAGATCTTGTGGGGCTGGGCAGATGGGAGGCAGGCATATGATCAGATCCAGTGTTTTGAAAAAACCATGAAAGTGTCTTGGTTCACACGACTCTTTGCTCTCATTTGCAGCAATATCTTACGCAGAATATCAAGGATTGATTTGTATCTTGATTGTACTTCTTTTAGCTCTAAGTGTCACTTTTGGTCTTGTGAAATTTTCTCTAGGGCAGAGAAAGCTCCCCTTGCAATTTTCAGTCAAGGGGGATCTCAGATCATCTTAGTACAGATCATCAGATCACTTCCAGCAAAAAAAAAAAAATGCAGGAAAGGTACATTGATTGTCTATTGCCAAAGCTCTACTTTCCTTCCTATTGCATGTCTACATAGCTCCAACTACAAAATTCACATGGGCTTGCCAAGTGGGAAAATACAGGTTTAAGGGCATAAACTACCTACTAGAATGTTGGGGGCTGGCAGATTCATCCACGGAGACTGGGAGTAGTACAGCAACAATGTTTAGTTTTATCATAACCCATTCAACACTCTCCACCTCCATCTAAACATTGCAGTGGTGAGAAATAGATTCTTTCCTAAAATAAGCTGCATACAAGTGTTCCTTATCTAAAGTGCTGTGAGAATCCCACTCCCTTTACCTAGCTTTGCAAAGTCTTTTCCGTTCTTTTTCATCTCTCTCAGAAAATCTGAAATGGGATGATTTATTAGATTTGGGAGATTAATGATGCTGAGGACAATACAGAGAACTTTGACAATAGTGACAAATGCCAGTTATGTCTAGATTATCCGAGAGTATTCGATATGCCAGACACAGTAACAACAAAGTCTCCAATGGAGACGTTACTGGGCCCGCTCGAGCAAATCGATGATCAATGGGAGGGTCTAGATTATTGATTATTGAATTTTGATAAATCAATATCAAAATTTATTAGGGACAGCCAATAAATATGATTTTTGATTATTTTATTTTATTTATTTATGATTATTTTAATTATTAAATTTTATTATTTGGTTATCTGATAACAGTGATTTAAGCAAGACAGAAATTATTAAGATTGTTCTTATTGATCTAGGACAAGGAGACACCATTGACTTTAGTCATCTGCTTAAAGATAGTATTATTCAATCTTATATGACCCTATCTAGACTTCTACATACATCAGTATCCAGCTCCAGAAAAGAGCAAAAGGAGTAGGTACCTGATCACCTTGCACTTATTGACAGGGCCCAGTAAGCTGTCTGTTCCCAAACTCCCAGGAGTATTGTGTTTGAGACAGGAGAATGAAGGCAGCTAGCAGGGACTGCCATACCATATCTTCTTCAAAATCTATATCAAAAGATTATTTTTCTTGGGCTTTTTCCCCATAATGAACAAGGCAGAGAACAATTAGGAAGTTCTCAGGACACTGGAGAAGGGTCGATACTGGGCATGCCCTTCACACCAGTACCTCAGGAAAATCCTTTTAGTCTCTTCAAGATCCATTTTTTTTCTGTGTCAATGAAAATATTGCACTAGATTTTCACTAAGTAATAATTGCCAGATTTGGGGGATATTACAGAGAGAGAACTTTGACAACAACAACAAATACAAGGTATGTATTTGACAAATACCAGGTATAAATTTTGAGTAGATCAGGGAGAAAAAAAGAGACTTACTCTTAATTACAACTTTAGTTAGGTTCAGTGTAATGAATAAAAGTACAGAGCCTTGATAAGGGGAAGCAGAGGTTTTGCTTTTCCTCTGCCTCCTCATCAACCACCTTTACTTCAGGAACTGTGACAACATTCAAGAGATGATCAGAGGTCCCCTCTCTGTCCTGGAGGATGCCTCAGTCTCAGATTTGAAGCAACTCAAATTTGGTTGCTCTCTCATACAGCTGACCTTTTCTCCTTTTCCCAACAGTGGACATGATGTGGGCTATGATAGTGAATAATGATGTTGGTATCATGGCATTCTTATGCATGCAGAAGAACTATTTTGCAGTAGAGTGTAGGATAATATTAGTTTGCCCTTTCTGCCTTGCTGGAGGGAGTTTAGGTTTATTGGGTTACTCCCATCACAGTCCTCCCATTCCTCTATGTTTATTTGTAACTTCTTTCTTTGTGCTCTGTTGACTTGTAATTTTTTTTTCCTCTTTAAGTCCTTTGCACAGTTAATTCAGAGCAATGTCCTTTTTGTATGGGCACAAGAAGACAGTTGATGCTATGCTTTTGTAACTTGGGAATTAATAGACTCTCAATGATATTTTCCTCCTGGGCATCTGTTCTCTCTATTTAAGCCTCAGTTGCCCTTACTCCCTAGCACCCCAAAAACAGGGCAAGTGGTGAGCTATGTTCTAACCTAGCATCGAAATGGGCCTGGCCAAAGTGCCATAATAATGCTTAACTATAAGTTAAGAGCTTGGTCATGGACAAATGCTGTCATGATTCCAAAAAGTAATAACTAGATTTGGACCCTGCTAGGATTAGGAAATATTAATCTGGCCTGAGCACTGTAGTCTGAATCTGTGGCGAGACGTTCCCAGGAGACCCGCCTTACAAGCCTCAATGTATCTCTTACTGTGTCCATACAAAAATAACGAATATTAAGTAGAATTAAGATGTTAATTAAGATGTTAAGCGATTGGACTGAGGAAAGGAGAAAAACACCTTAAGTGGTATTTTGCCCTTGAGCAAAGATAGGGCTTTCTTATGTTGATTTTGCTACCAGACTGGGTGTAGCCTTGGCCCAGAGTTCTGGGAAGTGGGAGAGACGAGAGAGTTGGAGAGAGACAGGAGTTGGGGAGAGATGAGAAAGAGAGAACAGGGCAGCAAGATGGAGCACAGAGAGACTTGCAAGGGGGACACAGGGAGAAGGATGTAGAAGAATACAGAAGCAGGCATGTGGAGAGAGAGAGCCCAGGCTGCGAGATGAAGCTCGGAGAGATGAGCGGGAGAGACAGGAGGAGATAGGAATGAGGGGAGTGTGAGACTAGAATGGGAGGCTCAGAGAGATGGAACAGGCACGTGGGGAGAATGGAAAAAACAGCAACTGATCAATCAACCCAGCGTGGCCCTTATTTCCTCCTCCTTCTGCACCATGGCCTGGGCCTTCCTGACTGGGGGAGCGACCGAGGCCCCCACATCCCGAACCCAGGCGGCGATGGGGAGAGCACTGGCCGCCCCTGGGGATTAAACTGTAGAGAGAGCTTAGATTTTAGAACAAAGAATAACAATGTAAATGTAGATTTCCAGGACCCAGGATTGTGCCCGAGGAGTATGTATCCAAAGAGCAAGTCTCTTGTTTTCCCTGTAAATTCAGATCAGTGAAGCCCTTATAACACAAGAATCAGTGATGACAGTGGTTATAATTGTTTCATTTGTTCTCAGGAGCACCTATGGAGAGTTTTTGTACGTGGATCCAACGGTCACAGATTTGTGGATTAGTTTCACACTGAATGGAAGTAAGCAGGACCCTCCTCCAAGTTTCAATACAAAGACCACAACCCAGGACTTCCTGATGGTCATCCTTGCCCTGGTGGGGCTGGGAGGAAATGCGGTTGTGCTCTGGCTCCTGGGCTTCCAGACACAGAGGAACGCTTTCTCCATTTACATCCTCAACTTGGCCGGCGCTGATTTTCTTTACCTCTCCATCCGCACTATATTCTGCCTCCAGAGACTCATCAACAACTTTTATGATGTCTTCTTAGACATCCCTGAACTTTTACTCACTATGTTTTTTTGTGCCTATATTGCAGGCCTGAGCCTTCTCAGTGCCATTAGCACTGAGCGCTGTCTCTTGGTTCTGTGGCCCATCTGGTACCGCTGCCACCGTCCCAAACACATGTCAGCTGTCATTTGTGCCCTGCTCTGGGTTCTGTGCCTGTTGCTGAGCATATTGGAAGGAATGCACTGTGGCTTGCTGATTTGGAATATAGATGATTACATGTGCCCGCTATTTGATATCATCATCTGTGTATGGCTGCTTGTTTTACTGGTGTTTCTCGTTGGTTCCAGCGTGACGCTCCTGCTTAGAATGCTGTGTGGCTCCCAGCAGATAAAACTTACCAGACTGTATGTGACTATTGGGCTCACAGTACTCGTCTTCCTCCTCTGTGGCTTTGCCTGGGGAATTGAGTGGTTCCTTGTTGTGTTCTTTAAATGTGATGTGAATAACTTCCTACATTTTAAAGAAACCCCAGAAGTCCTGGCTTGTGTTAACAGCTGTGCCAACCCCATCATTTATTTCTTTGTTGGCTCTTTTAGGCAAAAGAGGCAACAGCGGCAGATCCTCAAGTTGATACTACAGAGGGCTTTGCAGGACTTTCCTGAAGTGGAGGAAAGTGAAAGAAGCCCTGGTGGGAGGAACTCCACCACTCAGGAGCCCTGATTTGGAGTCTCTACCTCAGTCATACATATATTCCATTGAGAGTCAAGTTGTCCCTATCAATCTAGTCACGGTCACAGGCCTCCTGTTGTTCATCTATTTGCTCGAGCGGGCCCAGTAACGTCTCCATCATGAGAGTTCTTGTTACTGTGTTTGGCATATCGAATACATCACGAGTAACTTGCCAGGCTTTGCCGTGCGGGCAAGATACTCTCTGGTAGCATGCTGGGCTTTCCGAGAGGGGCGGTGGAATCGAACTTGGGTCGGCCATGTTGGCTGCGTGCAAGGCAAATGCCCTGCTGCTGTGCTATCGCTCCAGCCCATCAATCTAGTAGTGACTTTAATTTAAGACTATATCTAATATTAAAAATGTGATTATAAATTAGTTTCTGATTCCTCCTTCTCTCTTGAAGAGCGCAGCAAGTTGCCGAGAGTATCCCGCTAGCACGGCAAAGCCCGACAAGTTCCCCCTGACGGATTTGATATGTCAAAAACAGTAACAATAAGTCTCACAATGGAGATGTTACTGGTGCCTGCTCGAGCAAATAGAGGAACAAAGGGAGGACAGTGCTACAGTGCTACTTTTCCATAGTTTAGAGCCATTTTTGATTTCTAGATATTGTAAATTTATGACCTATAATCATTTTCTTATTAACTTGATGAACTTTACTCATTTTACAGGCACTTTTACAAGTGTGAAATTCGTATTTCATTATGCTAGTAAACAGTCAATATGTCCTAACATTTAATTTTCTTCTTGAGTATAATGATTTATAATGTTTGTTCTCATCCCTCTAATATTTTCTTAATATTATTTGAAGTTTGTACTTTGCTTCAAAAATCTTTCTCCATTTTAAGACAAAAATAATTTATAGTGATTTATCCAGAATTTTATTAAGTATTTAGTGTATTTTGACTTATCTTAAATTTTATTAATTTTTATTAATTTTGTTAGGTGTTTACTGTATTTTGATTTATCTTAAATTCAATGTAAAGTATTTTTTCAACTTTATTTTATTTTAAACGTGTACTAGGTGACCACTTCGATTTACTATATTGCCAATGCTTTAGAACCTTCATCATATACAAAATGCTCATCTGCATTCGTGTCTAATTTTGAGACGTTTTTATCAGTTTCCATGTATACATCAAAATAAAATGCTGTGTATACTCAGCCTCTGAGCTATGTTAATCACCCCCAGTTCTTTTCTTTGTCAGGATGTGCTGATGGTGTGATGGAGCATCTGAGCAACACAGACACCAACTGAACAACCCACAGACACAGGGAACCAGTATAGGCAGTTGAGAATGAAACTTATTCTATAGATGATAACATATGATTTTGTATACAATAATGAACATATAGAAAAAAAATAAAGCATGAACTCTTATCCAGGACTTACTGATGGCCATTATTGCATTGCATTGACTTAGTGATCCCTTCTCTAGTCCAGTTTCCTTCTCCCCCAACTCATGAGGCAGGTCTCCAACCATGAATCAATCTTTCTGGCTCTTATCTCTAATCTTAATGATTTTTTTTGTGTGGTTGATATGTTAAAAGATGAGGGTGGGTTTTAAAGCCTTCTATTATTGTGTTGATGTCACTGTATCTTCAGGTATCTTAGTAATTGTTTTAAGTATTTTGTTGCTCTTAATTTGGTACCTATATATCGATAACAGTTAAGTCCTCCAGATGTGATCATCTGTTAATCTGTGTAGAAAGTTCTTCGCTTTGTATGCCACTTAATCTGATGGAATTATAGCCTTATTCTAGGCTATTGTTTACCTTTATGATTATTTTCTAGTTTTTTATTTAAACTCTAAACTTGTTTCTAATAATGAGATTTAAGTATGTCTCTTTATATAACAGAAAGTAGTATATTATTTCCTGATCTGTATAGCCATTTGGCATCATTTGACAAGGCAGGACTTTTTAATCCGTTGACATTTAGACAAATTATTAGCATAAGTGAGTTACTGCCATTTTTTCTATGAGACTTTTGTTTGTTCTTGCAGTTTGACTTCTTTTCTTTGGGTTTCTTTTATTTCCTGTGCTTATACTTTGATACTGGTCTTTGTTGTGCTAATCTGTTTTCATTTGCCTTTTGTTAATTGTTTCCAAGTATTTTTGTCTTGGCATTACTGTGTTGTTTTGATCTGAATTTCTAAATTTTTTTCCCCATGAATTTATTGATTATGTTTGCTGTTGAGTCATTAGGGTACACTCTTGACTTTTTCCTAAAAATCATTCCCAGTGGTGCTCATGGAACCACATGGTGATAAGGACGTAACCTGGGTCTTCTGCATAAAAATCACATAACCAGCTCTATGTACTGTGTAAACACACAAAAAATAAAAAGGCCAGCGGCCAGGCCGTTTCCCCACTCCACGGAGGTCGATGGCGATGGTCAGGCGAAGGAAGGAAACGAGGCCAAGCTGGTTGGTCTTAGCAGCGATTTATTACATGGAAGAGATGTATGTCATGGAGGCTTCAGGAGTCCTCAAGCACATGCACCTTTGTTCTCTCAGCTTCTGTCCTCAGCCCCATCTTTCCAGGTTCTCTGATGCACGTGTCTCCCCACCCCCCCCAGAGTCCTGAAATCTCCCTTATATAGATCATAGTACCTCTAAAGGGCACAATATAGTGATGTCATCAAAAGGAGTTACAGAAAAAACACAAAGGCAAAGCATACATTGTTTCTTTACATCAGCAGGCCAGTAATCCTGGCCTCACCTTTTTACAAACTACAAGCATTTAGATTAGCATAACAAAGACCAGTCTGCTAGAGCTTGGAATCTACATCCCCAAAATCAGCCAGCCTGGAGCCAGGTATCTACATACCCAAGATCAGGCCTGGCTTAGCACCTGAGATCTGCTTACCTAAGACCAGCTAGGCTCCTATGAGATAAAAGAAACTGCCTTAATATACTGAAATCATTTACTGAAGGCACTTTGGAGGGGGAAAGGTTCAGTCTCATCCAAGCTAGCCAGGACACAAAGGAAAACTGCTTCTAGGACGTGTTTCTCCTCTCCTTGTCCAATCAACATAAGCATACATAATATTAATCATTTTGTATGGACACAGTAAGAAATACTTTGAGCTTATAGAATTGCTCTCCTAGGGCCATCTCGATCTCAGACTGCAGTGCTCAGGCCAGATATCTTTCCTATTCCTAGCAGCAGGGCCCTAGTCTCGTCGTTACTTTTGGATCATGACATCATTTGCCTATGATCAACCTCTTAACTTATAGTTAAGAATCGTGGCACCTTGGCCTGGCCCATAGCGATGCCAGGGTAGCACATAACTTACCTGCTTGCCCTGGTTTCATCCAGTCCCACGTCGGGACCCTGCCCTTGGGATGCTAGAAGTGAGGGCAACTGAGGCTTAAGTTGAGAAGGCAGATGCCCAGGAGTGAATAATATCCAAAGCCAATTAATTCCTAAGTTATAAAGCATAATATTAATTAATTGTCTTCCTGTATCTATACAAAAGGACATTGCATTAAAGTAAACTGCTCAAAAGACATAAGGAGAGGAGAAAGACAATATTAACTTACAGTACAGCTTCAGTGTCTAAGCAGGATGAGACCTTACAAATTGGTTGGGGAAGAGAGCATAGAAGAGGTTACAGACAGACAAAGTAATGGAAGTGACTCGGGAGCACTGTGATGGGTACAATCTGATAAACCTAAGCTCCGTGTACTTCAACAATGTACTATATCCTTAACCCTATAACAGAAAGTAAATGACTGTTATTCTGGAAATCTCCTTTATTATTCTCTGTTTTCCTCATTTTATGTCTTTAAGTATCTTCCTCTCTCTGAGTGAGTTTTCTTGCTTTTTATAGAAGACCTTATTATATTTCTTGCAAAGTTGGTTTGGGAGTGATAAATAGCTGTATTTTTCTGATACTTTCTTTCAAACTTTCTCTGAATTTATTAATGTTTTCTTTCATGTATTTTTTTCATTTGCCTGAGGTTTGTGCCAAGCCACTTTGGCAAATGAGCTCGAGAGTTTCTGAAGACAGGAATATTTCTGTGGCTTTCTCTCTCTCAGTGTTCCTCGTACAATCATGGAGATGCTGAACAAGTCGATCATATTCTTCAATGATGTTGTCAATGACAGCATCTTCCCATGTTGCCGTAATAGTGCCAAAGAGCTTCCAATTGGTGGTTGTTCTGGGAGTTCTCTTTTTAAACTTTGCAGCCCTTTCTCCCCGCTCTGTGAAGTAGAATTTTGCACGAAGGAGATGGTGGTCTGATCCCATTTGAAATTTTGGGACAACAGTGACGTTGGTCAGGCAAAACTATTGATTGAATATGATGTGGTCAATTTCATTGTGGAACTGTCCACCAGGAGACTCCCATGTCCAACGTTTAGATTCAGCCTTCTGGAACTTTGAGTTACCATGGATGGTCTCGGTCGACATGATGAACTCAGACAGTTTCTCACCCTGTTTGTTCCATTCTAAGCCATTGGTCCCAATGTGGAGTTCTTTGGGCGATCCTCTTGGTCCTATCTTGGCATTAAAATCACTGACAATAATCTTGTAGAAGGTGTGGTCTTCTTTATAGAACTTCTACAGCTCCATGTAGAGCTTCTCAATTTCTTCATCATAGTTGGATGTTGGTGAACAGAAGACGAAGATAGAAACTGCCGGCAGTGAGCCATGTCTATTCAAGCGTAAGCATCCGATTCGGGATGTTAGGCATTCGAATGAATCAATGCTCATGACCAAGTTTGTGTTGATGAGGACATCAACACCACCAATGCCTCTATTGTAGCATGTTCCGAGGAACAGCACTTGACAGGGACGAATGGAGATGTTACTGGTGCCTGCTGGAGCAAATTGATGAGTAATGGAATATCAAGTGATCAAGTGGTTTCTTCATTTAATTGACGATCTTTACACTATGACAATTCTTTTCTAGAGCTCACCCAACTGCTTTGGAATTTTTATTTGGTTTTTAAAAACTTTTATTGAGGGTTTGATTGACAGATA